AAGGGGGGTTAAATCTGTTTTTTTTCCCCCCCCCCCCCCCCACACACACACACTTAATTGATTTCTTTCCCAAATTGCATTGACACCAATGTTTCAGGAGTTTAGTTTACATACTTGTTCAATAACTGTTTTATTTCCTATTTGTGTTTGTGTATATGCTTTATTTTTTAAGATTAACTTCGATGCCAGTGTTTCCTGTCCTAAATGCAAAGATTTGATTTCAAAAACAGAATCATATCTATTAAACTATTTCTTGTTATGTTTTTAAACTTATATTCAACCTCGGAACAATCTCAAAGTAAAAAGAGGTGCTAAAATCTGATTTTGTGGCTGTGCTTTAAAATTAAATTATTATAATCTTAATTCAAGTGATGAACGATTTTGAAAATCTGACAGTAATTAGTGTTGAGTACTACTGTAAAGTTAACCCTGCCTGGTTTAAATGTTTGAAAAGGATTAACAGTTGAAAACATTCATTAGAAATTTAGAAAAGTAATCAAATTCAATCAGTTACATTACTTTAATAAAGTAATTGAAATAGTTACACTACTTATTACCTTTTAAATAGGGTAATCTGTAACCTATTACATTTCCAAAGTAACCTTCCCAACACTGTGAATGAATGAATGAATAAATAAATACTAATAAATTAGTTTTACATTAACCCTGCCTGGTTTAAATGTTTGAAAAGGATTAACAGTTGAAAACATTCATTAGAAATTTAGAAAAGTAATCAAATTCAATCAGTTACATTACTTTAATAAAGTAATTGAAATAGTTACACTACTTATTACCTTTTAAATAGGGTAATCTGTAACCTATTACATTTCCAAAGTAACCTTCCCAACATTGTGAATGAATGAATGAATAAATAAATACTAATAAATTAGTTTTACATAAAAAAATCGTTTTTACTATCAATTCTTTCTTGTAAATTCAGATTTACTAATTAAATAATGACAAGACCCTGGAGTTTGTCTATAAACTGTTTCCAGAAATAATTACTCTCAGAATAGGACTAGTCTGTGAGACACACATTTACCTAACCTCCTCTGGGAAAACTATCCCTGTCTGAATAGAGTTTTACAGCCGAGCACTTGAAACTCATGACAAGAGCCAGAGATGCATTGCTCCTATACACCCAAGTGTGTCTTATTCTAAATCTGAAGTGGCTTGAACAGTTTTTCTAACTCTCTTTGCAGCAAACATGACAGTCCTTTTAGATAAAAACAAGTATATCATGGAGCAGATCACCACCCTCTCCATGCTGATGATGAACCTTTCCTCCTGTGTCAACTTCGACCGATACCGAGCTTTCAACTTCACTGATGAACTCGACGAGCAGGCGGAGAGACTGGCTCAAAACCGCGAGCTCTATGCCAGTGAGTTTACACACACACACACACACACACACACACACACACACACACACAGGTTTACTTTTGTGAAAAGTGGGGACATCCCATAGGCGTAATGGTTTTTATACTGTACAGACCGTATATTCTATTGCCCTTTACCAACCCTACCCCTAAACCTACCCCTCACAGGAAACTTTGTGCTATTTCAGATTTTCAATACACTCTATTCTGTGTGATTTATAAGCGTTTTGAAAAGTGGGGACATGGGGTAATGTCCTGAAAAGTCACCTTCTCCTTGTAATACCTATGCCATACCTTTGTCATTATACAAATGTATGTCCTCATTTGTCACAAAAACACGTACACGCACAGACACACAGACACACACACACTTTCTCATCAGGAGATACCTCTTCAACTGACTACTCCACTCATGCGTTTGGTGATTCTCTCGGTTGAGGACACCACAGGCACTGAAGAGCCATCGGGCTGTAAAGCCTGTAATTCAATGCAATTCGATTCAATTCCACTGAGATATAGATTTCCACTGTTATCGAGGGAAAAGCGGGTCTCTGAGGTTACTATGACAACAGATCACTTCCCTTTTATACACATGAGCTCTTCTCATCTTCACAGGCATCATTTTCAAACTTCCCGAGGAGACCTCCAGCAGCCTGCCCCCGAACATCGACTACACCATTCGAATGAACATCGAGAATGTCATGCGCACCGACCGTGCAAGGAATCCCTTCTGGGTGAAAGATGCCTTCATGTCGTCAACGACGACCCAGCGGTACAACCGAGGCTTTGTGTACCTGCAGGAGAGCATCGAGAGAGCCATCATCGAAATGCAGACGGGTAAAGCCATGGATGGGCCCGCGGTCCAGATGCAGGCGTTCCCTTATCCCTGCTACTACAAAGATGAGTGAGTGTCTGAAAAGCACAAACCCTACATACACACTGAGCGTCTCATATGAAGACTGAAGTGATCACACAAGATGTGGTATCTGAACAGATAATCAGCAGTTTACACCAACACTGAACATCTGCTCATTTTGTTTATTAGAAATTTCTCTAGTAGGGTGAACATCTAGTATTACATAAAAATAATGTATTTGCATTTGTTTAATGAAACAGCACTGCTTGCAAGGCAGCAAAACAATTTAGTAAGCTTAGGTTTAGCTTTGGTTCGGTGTAGATGAAGTGCTGGATTAGAACTGTTGTCATGGCACTGAATTTTCTGTTGGCTGTGTATGAGAATCAACATAACTTAACAATAACATGACATTTTTTTTGCTATGTAAAGGTGGCTTTAGATGGTGCCAGTGTTGTTATTAAAAAAAAAAAAAAAAAAATTATTACAAATATTTTTTGGTCTTTGAAGTACAGCTGAAATAAAATATAATTATTAGGTGAAAAAATATAATTATTAGAAGAAATCTTGTCTTGGCAAGTTAAATGATTAAATGACTAATACTAAAACGAAACTAAATCTAAATAGAAATAATAAAAAACACAACTAATACAAACACAAAAATAAAAATGGCAACATTACATAAAATTAAATGAACAATTAAAATGAAAACTGAAAATATAAAAAAAATCTAAGTAATAAATCCTATAACAGTATATTCATAATACTAAAATAACACTAATACATGCTAGAATGAAAAGGATGCAATAAAGTGACAAGCTTTTCTCCATCGAAAATAGATTGCAAACCAAATTAATGTCTGAATTAGTTGCAGAAGAACATTGCTGTGGGTCATCAATTTAAACTTTTAATTACAAAATTAATCAAAGAGGAACTTGACTTAAGTTAGTCAGTTCATCAGTTCCTCTTTCTTCAACATTTGAAGTTATTGATGTGTAGAACAAATATGCCCTTCGCCTGCTAATCTCAAATCTTTCTACCCCCCAGGTATCTCAACAGCATCTCTTTTGCCTTCCCAATGGCACTCATGATTTCCTGGGTGCTGTTTGTCGCCCACTTTGTGAAGAAACTCGTCCACGAGAGAGAACTGCGACTTCATGAGGTATGGAACCAAAACATATTTTTTTATTTAGTCCATTCCCACAAACTTTAATTAGGTTTCTAAACTCTTTTCACTCTTCCCACAGTACATGAAAATGATGGGGGTCAATCCCATCAGCCACTTCTTTGCCTGGTTAATTGAAAGTGCTGTGTTCCTTCTGGCGACCGTCATCATCCTCACCATCATTTTGAAAGCTGGCGGCATCCTTCCTCGCAGCGATGGCTTTGTTCTCTTCCTCTACCTTTGTGACTATGGCTTCAGCGTCCTTGCAATCAGCTTCCTGGTCAGCTCCTTCTTCGATAAGACCAACATCGCCGGGCTGAGTGGCAGTCTTATCTATGTTATCTGTTTCTTCCCCTTCATCGTGTTGATCCACTTGGAGGACAATCTTTCCTTCAGTGTGAAGAGCGCTCTGGTATGTACTGCATTTAAATCAGTTTGTAATTTAACACCATTGCACAGTCACATTGTGAAATATGTAAAAAGGCCTATTAAAGTTAACAAATTAACGCATGAGATTAATTAGAAAAAAATGACATTCAGTTTGACATTATAACTTCTGTTTGACATTATAATTTCTAAAACTATTGTTGTAGTGGGGACCTTTTTGCATTTTATATTTTTATATTTAGACATTATTTAGTATGTTTATTATTTCACTTCCCTCAATATAGGTTTCAGGTTTTACTGTTACTGCAGGGACCAAATATTCTCTCACATGCACAAAAGTCCCAAGAACAGCATGTTTTCTCAGTAAATGCAGGAAGAAATTCTTTACGGATAATTAATTTATAAATCAAAGCCAGGCGGGACATTTAACAAAAGTAATTTGCATTCTTTGTATGGTGAAATTTAATTATCATAACAGCTCCACAAGTGAAATATCTCCCGCAAATGTGAAACCGTGTCATTCATAGAAATGTTAATGCGAACACCAGCAGAGGTCTAGTGTGCAGGCTGTGGCAGCGGCAAAAAGATCTTTACATGTAATATTATGTCCATGAAGAGCGGGGTCATAAAGTTGTTTTGTTGAATTATTGCAGACTTGCCATGTTGGCATTTTCTTTGTTTTGATCTGTTTTTGTGCAAATAAGGTGAGTTAAAAGCAACGTTGAAGGAATTTACCTTGTCAATATTATTATATTGATATGGACATATATTCCACTGTAGTTTCATCCACACAAATAATACACAATATTTTGTTAAAAATAAAACAAATACATTAGCATATTAACTACATTTTATGCACGAATAAAGGAAGCGTTCACCCAAGAAAAATAGAAATTATTTATTCTCCTTTTCATTCCAAACCTGTCTTTTTTTGTTTTAAACTACTTATAACAACTCACCTTTTGTAAGAGTGTAAGGTTTTGTAAGAAAGTAAGGTAAGTGACATAATGGTGAGTAAATTATGACAGAATTCGGTGAACTAGTCTTTTAAATGTTTTAATACATTGACAGCTGTAACAAAAATCTCACTGCGTTTGTTTTTGGTCCACAGAGTCTCTTTTCTCCAACATGCTTCAGTTATGCCAGCCAGTATATCTCCCGCTATGAAAAACAGGAAGAAGGTAGGTTGACACAAACTTCTCAGACTGTCTGTAATTAGTTTGTTTGGGATAATTACATTGACTGAATGCATTGTGTACTTACACCTCAGGCATCCAGTGGAGCAACATGTATATCTCTCCTCTGGCTGGTGACACTTCCTCCTTCGGTTGGCTCTGCTGGCTGCTCCTCATTGACTCAGTAGTATATTTTATCATTGGAATTTACATCCGCATAGTCTTCCCAGGTATGTGTGAGCTGCTCAGTTGAGAAACTCACCCATTTTGTTTGTGTGGTTAGGTAAAAAGAAACAATATTCATTTGTACAAGTTGAGGTTTAATATTATCGTTTAATCCATTTTTCTCTTGATCAGGAAAGTATGGCATTGGTGTTCCGTGGTACTTCCCTGTGACTCGGTCCTTCTGGACAGATATGTTCAGCTGCTGTAGCAGAACACCAAAGAAAATAGGCAGAGGGTTGCTCTTTACCAACATGATGCAGGAACAAAACAGCACTGACAAGAGCAAAGGTACGTTACTACACAGTGCTTTGGAATACTGATTTGGAATACTGATCTGGTTGGTCTGTAGCAGCATTGAGCGGGAAAGTACTTTTGCATGTCTGTATATTTGATAACTGTCTGTGGTAGTCTGTGGTGCTATCTTCATGTTTCTCATATCATTTTTTTTTTAAACTAATGCAAATTAGATGAGTTAATTGGTGCAGTGATTACAGACTGAATTAGAAACAGAGGAAGACATGTTTTATTGTAGCTAAATATTACATAACAGTAGATTACCTGCACTGCCATTTAGAGGTTTGAGGTTAGTAAGATTTTTGAGAGAAGCTTCTTATTCTCACATAGGCTGCATTTATTTGATTAAAAATACAGTAAAAACAGTAATATTGTGAAATATTACAATTTAAAATACATGTTGTCGATTTTAATAAATGTGACCCTGAACCACAAAACCAGTCATAAGGGTCAATTTTTAGAAATTGAGATTTATACATCATCTAAATAAATAAGCTTTCCATTGATCTATGGTTTGTTAGGATAGGACAATATTTGGCAGAGATACAACTATTTGAAAATCTGGAATCTGAGGGTGCAAAAAAAATCGAAATATTGAGAAAATCGAGCAAATTTAAAGTTGTCCAAATGAAGTTCTTAGCAATGCATATTACTAATCAAAAATAAAGTTTTGATATATTTACAGTAGAATATTTACAAAATATCTTCATGGAACATTACTTTATGTCCTAATGATTTTTGGCATAAAAGAAAAATCTATATTTTTGACCCATACACTGTATTTTTGGCTATTGCTACAAATATACCCCAGCGACTTAAGACTGGTTTTGTGCTCCAGGGTCACATATTTAAAAATGTAATATATTCATGTGATGACAGCTGAATTATTCAAATTTGCTGATTTGGTAATCAAGAAACATCTATTCTTACTATCAATATTGAAAACAGTAATATAATATAATGTAATGTAATGTAATATAATATAATATATATTTTATATTAATATTTTTTTGGAAACTGTGATACCTTTTTATTTTAGGATTCTCTTTGATTAGAAAATTCAAAAGAACAGGATTTATTTGAAATATATGTGTATATATATATATAACTTTTTAAAAGTATTTTCTATCACTTTTTAACAATGTAATGTCCCTTTATGAATAAAAGTACTATTTTCTTTCAGAAAAGATAGAATATTACTGACCAAACTTATGAGCTTTTGATCTCTTATCTAACAAATCTGAGAGATTTGCTTCAGATTTATTTGCTCAAATATACTTGCACACTCTACCTTATTTGAAAGTGACACAGATTGTAACTGTAGGATCAATTTGAATCCTTTCCATTTCTGTGTGACATATTAACATCTTTGCTTCGCTTTATCTATGTTGTCCCCCCCCCCGTAGGTAAAAGTAGCTTGGCGGATAATGGAGAAGACGACTTTTCAGGATTGCCTGTTGGAGTCTCACTGCATGGCCTGACAAAGACCTACGGCAACCGGCATGCTGTAGACAACCTAAACCTCTCTTTCTATGAGGGACATGTCAGCTCTCTGCTGGGTCACAATGGAGCTGGAAAAACCACCACTATGTAAGAGCATAAAAGCTTCCTGCATCTTTAAAAAATGCCATTGGTTTGAATAAGCATAAAAACTATTTGAAAAATGTTTAATATTTTTGTATTTTCTTGTTTCAGGTCACTTCTGACGGGGTTGTTTGCACCAACCAGTGGCACCATTGAGGTGTATGGGATGGATATGCAGACATCTATAGATGATGTGCGTAAGGAGATGGGCGTGTGCATGCAGTATGATGTCCTGTTCGACCACCTTACCACAAAGGAACACCTGCTGCTATATGCTCAGATCAAAGCTCCCCACTTGACCAAGCAGGAAGTGAACGAACAAGTGCAAAGGTAAGTTTCAGCACTCCTATTACAGTATGTTTTATGTTGTTCTCTAACATTCCCTTAGAGAAATTAACTTTTTACAGAAACTTTATGTTATCTTAACTCATATTGCATGCAGGTTTCCAATGTGCCCTTAATGGTGTTGGGGAAGCTACTTTAAACTACTTTAAAACTGAAGCTTCCCACACTACAGCCTACTCATAATTTAAAGTAGTTCAGCTGTAAAGTCAAACTACACTGATGCTTATTATATAAAAAACAGTTATTCTTCAGCAGCATTAAACACAACATTTAGATACAAAAAAAAAAGTCACAAAAAAGAGGACAACTTACATGTACTTTTTTTACATGTACTTACATGTATGGGTTGGTAAAAGTGTGTAGGTTCAAATCCCTCAATGGATGGTCCATGAACACACTGTGCCCTTGAGCAAGGCATTTTACCTCAAATCACTGTGGATACTGTAAGAGTAACAGCTAAATGAGAAATATGCATTAACATGGTTCCTCTTTTTCCTGTCTTAGAATCCTAATGGAAACAGACATGCATTCCCACCGCCACAAGCGTGTCGGCACCCTGTCAGGAGGTATGAAGAGGAAGCTATCCATCTCCATTGCCTTCATCGGAGGCTCGCGGCTGGTGGTGCTAGATGAGCCGACCACTGGGGTGGATCCCTGTTCCCGACGCAGCATCTGGGACATTGTCCTTCAGCACAAGCAAGGTGAAATCCCCTTGCAATTCTAACCAGGGTGAAAATAATCTCCTGACTTGTACCTGTAGCAAGCTCCCCAAAGGACTTTGTTGTTATCGGGTATCTGACACTTGGTTTAGAATTTAATTAGGCTTGAATGGATTTTCTCAATGTGCGTGCAGTCAAATCCAGACAGGGAAAAATCCAGACGCAGATGTAGTAACGACTGATTGTTATCCGTCATGCTCCCTCTGATGTTTAATTATCTTCCTCTTAGACAGTTAGCGAATTTATCTCAAGCAAGGATTTAAGACCATAAAAGAGGGTCATGTCAGATTCTCCTGTGCTATCTTTGTACATCAGCTCTTTGTTCAGAGCCTGTCTTTCTCTGTCTGCTTGTATCAGTGGATCTTTGATTTGACATGCCTCTGTGTTGGTTTTGTTTAACTGTTCAGATCATACCATCATTCTTTCCACCCATCACCTGGATGAGGCTGAAGTTCTCAGTGACCGAATCGCCTTCCTGGAGCGCGGAGGCCTCAAATGCTGTGGTTCGCCCTTCTTCCTCAAAGACAAGCTGGCTAAGGGCTACAACCTCACCCTCACAAAGAAGGTACATTCCATGGAGTATGTCAGTCACTCCAGCTGAGCTCTAACTTGAGTTCAACCCTCATAAAAAGTACCATGGTAGTACTGGAGTACAGTACAATGGTATAAGATTAATACAAAGATACGGTGATATACCTGTACACAAAACATTTGGGGTTGGTTAGATTTTTTCAATGTTTCCCTTTTTTCCATTTAAATATATTTTAAAATTCCTGTGATCGCAAGTTGATTTTTCAGCAGTCATTACTTCAGACTTCAGTGTCACATTATCCTTCAGAAATCATTCTAAAAATATTTTGCTGCTCAAGTAACATTTATTATCAATGTTGAAAACAGTTGTGCTGCTTTATTTATATCTATATTTCATTTTTATTTGCTATATTTTTTGTGGAAACTTTGATTCAGTTTTTTTCAGGATTCTTTGATGAATATAACTTTCAAAAGAACAGCATTTATTTGAAATATAAATCTTTTGTAGCATTATTAATGTCTTAACTGTCACTTTTGATCAGTTTAATACATATGCTCGAGTATTAATTTCTTTCAGAAATTAAGAATATAAAAAAAAATCATACTGATCCCAAACTTTTATACATTAGTGTGTATATACAATGGTATATAATGATTATTGTATTCATATACCATGATATTACTGTGGTAATATGTGTCACTGTGGTATTCCAGAATTTATATTTTTATATAATTTATAATAATAATTATATATATTTTATATAATTTGATATAAATCATATTATCAACATGCATTTCTATGTTTTTGGTTCAGGTTCAGACTCCTGATTCAAACGAAAAGTTGAACATCGAAGAACTCAGGGCTTTCATTCAATCCTACCTGCCTGACGCTCGGCAGAAGGAGGGAGAGGTGGGCGATTTGGTCTATGCCCTCCCACCGTACACCCCCCAGAACGCAGCTGCGTACCACTCTCTGCTCACCGGTTTGGATCAGAACCTGGACAAGCTTCAGCTGGGCTGCTATGGCATTTCTGACACCACCCTGGAAGAGGTAATTATAAGATGTTATTATAAGAAATTATAAGACCCAGGTGCAGGACTGGATTATGGACTCGGCCAGTTCCACTGGGCTTCAGACTGCCTGCCCAGCGACCTTTAAAGCCTCAAGCAGTGCAGCCCAAGACTGCCAAAGGAAGCTGAACCATACTAGGTTCCCTGGGATTCTTGGCTCATAAAGTGCAAGCCTCACAATTTCACTCCAAAGATTCTAAAAAGGGCTGGGAGATATTTAATTATTGAAATGTTATTAAAAGTATTAAAGAAAAAAATCCATCCATAAACAGATTTGTGTAGGCTATTAATTTTAGTCATCTAATGCAGGGTTTCCCAACCTGACAGTCATGACTGCCAGCTGGGGTTGCTGAGGCTTTTAAAGTTCTATTTTGTCAGTGAAAATGTGTTTACTTTCGTTCATCTTCAAAATGGAAATATTTTTTAAATACAATTTTTGTCCAATGTGTGTATGTGCCTGTTCTCACCAAGAACGATAATTATAAAGATCATTGCTATTGTTATAGTTATAACAATAACTATAACAATATAATTTAAAGCCTTGGTGTAAACAGGCTTTAAATTATGACAAAATTCACATTTTTTATTGAACTTTGCCTTTAAGAAACAAATTGCATGCTGTTTTCAATATTCCCAAATCACAAATTGCCACCGGTTTCTACACATTCTACACTGAAAAAAAACATGGTGTAGAGTTTACAGTCTTCATTCGGAATTTTCTAGTAAATTGGGAACCTAATGTTAACCTAACAAAACCATAGGAAAACATTATTCAACCCTGTCCAAGTGCATTCAAAAAGACATTGTGTTTTCCCTCAGGTGTTCTTGCAGTTGACTCGAGACAACATGGAGCCTACAGAAAGTGAAACCTGGTCTGTATCAGAGTCTGTGATTGCGAATGACATGTTTGCGTCAAGAGACAGCATTTCTGACGATCTCAACAGCACGTACCTCGGAGAGAAAGCCAGTAAGTGGGCATTTATGACTAGTTTAGTTGCATTCAGCAGTTTGTGGAATATTAGTTCCATGACCTTTACTTTCCCAATTACCCCTCGAAAGCTTTGAACTTTGAAAACTCATCTTCAGAATTTCCCTGAATTGAAGCAGTTGAGATGATTGCCTCTGTCTCATGTGGCACACTCTCTTCTTCTCTCTTATAGGCCTCACTGGGACCTCAACAGTGCGTGGGCTTGCGTTGACTGTGCAGCGGGTGATGGCTATGTTGCTGAAACGCCTGCATCACTCCAGGAGGGACTGGAAGGGACTGTTCTCCCAGGTGTTGTTGCCTGTACTCTTTGTAATTGCTGCCATGGGCCTGGGCTCCATCAAGAGCGATCTTCAGCACTTTCCTAAGATTGTGCTCTCTCCTGCACTGTACCACATTGATGAACAGCATACCTTCTTCAGGTTAGACTCACTTTGTTGTGTAAATCGCCTATGATTCAATATAGTTAGGAAATATGGGTACTGCTGAAATACCCATATTTTTAAATTTGTTTTAGAGTGTAATAATCTATTAATTTACATTTATGCAATTTGTAGACACCTTTATCCAAAGTGACTTACATTGCATTCACAGTACACATTTCATCAGTCCATGCATTCTCTGGGAATCAAACCCATGAGCTTGCCATTGCTAGCACCATACTCTGCTGTTTGAGCTATAGGAATATTTATTCAAATTTAGTCTTGTTTTATATTTTGATAATCCACTTAAAAGAAGGTAATTTAAGAAAGTGGAGAAACAGAATGTTTAATAATTAATAATTAAAATGTAAAAAAATCCTATAATAATAAAATAATGAAATGAGAAAATAAATGACACATAAACATTATCATGAACAAAACATATGTTATTTACTTAAAATATATTTGATAAATAATTCATGTTGACACATAAAACTTGTATTTAATTTGAGTTAATTATGTTGAAAAAATAGCTTTCATTTTATGGAATGTGATAGAATAGGTGTTGTGTTTCGCCATACAATTTAAATCGGTTGTTGGCTGTTTTTTCACAGTATTCAACTTTAAGTTAAGAAAATTGTACTTAATTTGGGGAAATATGTCACATGAGGAAAAATAATTACATATAATGGAGTAAATAGGCTTAATTAGTCAAGTTAATGATGTAATTAAAAATTATTTTGTCACCAAAATTGTGTTGATGTTGTGCCTGTTCTTCCTGTCATTTCAATTCAGCTTCCTGTGGGGCGTGGCCATTTCTACTCTTTGAATCTGAGAGCAAATTGTAAAATTTTTCCCAATACTGTATCATGGTATTCTATTCAGAATAAAGAATCCTGGAAATAAAAATCTGAGGAAAATATATTGTCGTTTCCACAAAAATATTATGCAGCACAACTGTTTTCAACATTGATAGTAAGGAGAAATGCTTCTTGAGCAACAAATCAGCATACAAAAACATTTTACAAAATCTTACCGACCCCAAACTTTTGAATGGTAGGGTATATCTTGTAATTTTCAAGTTGTGTAACATATGAAATGTGTTTTGTGTCCTGAGTTAATGTGCGCTTAGACTTGCATTTCTAAAGTTTTGACTTGCCATGTAAGGTCTAATCCACTCATTCAGCTTATTCTGAGCAAGAGCCGCCCACTTAGACAGGAGAAGACTTTCTGAGAGACGGCAACGAACCCAAAGTTATTTTTGCTTTTTGCAATAAATACTGGGTCCATCTAAAATATGCTTTTTGCAATTTTCTGAAATATAATCCTTCCCCTCTGAGGCTGAAAATAATGTAATTCCACCACCCTTAGACAGGGGGCAGTGTGTCTTTTCTGTCTCCCGCCATGAGGCAGAACGATCTGAATGCTAATTAGAGGTGCTGAGAACTGAAATGAAGGAATAGAGCTGGTCTTATTTCAACACTGCCAGACTGGCCCAGTGGCTGAGATTCACTGTCCGCCTCCAGGCAAGATTAATGCAATCCCACCAGTCAATAATGGAAAGGGGGGATGCATTCATTCAGATGTATCCGGTGAAGTCATTCAGGGCAAAACAGAGCATAAATTCAGAAAAGGTTAATGGGAGGAGCAGACGGCTGGTCACGTGTTTGCTGGGCAACTGTATATTTTCTCATGTGCTAAAATCTCTCTTTACAGCCATCTCTATATCCAGCCACCCTTACCCTGGCCAAGTGCAAGATGAGGATCTCATGTAAGAACACACACACACACACACAGACACACACACACACACACACACACACACATCCATCTGTCTGGTAGCTTAAGCAGATAAAGTACTCTGTGGGACCAAATATAGACTGAGCATATTAGTAGGGCCAGTACAAAATCACAGACCCACTGGTGAGGAAAAGAAAGCAATCAGCCAAATGATGGGCTTTAGATAAGATATGCAAACATTGGTCTGACATTTTCATTCTAGTGGAGCACTTGAACTAATGTAATTTGACTCTTGTATTTACTCCTCTTTGATTTTTTTCCTGGGCTTGGCTTATTGATTACTAACCCAATATAATGCGTGTTTACTCTGAAGGTGGTTTGGAGGTTAATTGATTCTACGTGGCCACCCAAACATGCTTGTATTTTGAACACATGGGGGCAATTTCAACCATGCCTAAATTTGAAAGACACGCTCAGTAAAATGAATGCAATTGTTTCATTCTCTCAGTTGGGATGAGTCTGGCTTGATGCCTGCTACTTAGGCCTGAGAAAGGGATTTCTTGAGAGGGGAGAAAACATGCAGAGAAGGCAAGAAAATGAAGAAGAATAGGTTGGCTACTCAAGAAGGCCTCTGTGAGTAGCTGAAAAGAGCAGAAATACCAGACACTTACTGTATATCAAAAGCAAAGTCCCTTTAAGGCAAGTCAAGCACTCGGTGGCCATATTGGTAACAGCCTCAGGCAGCTGTTTCAAGTACAAATCGAGTGCTGCAGGAATGACTCCTAAAACCCAGAATCGAGTTCGCATTTTTGAACTTCCAGTTTAAAGTCAATGTTTTTTTTGTTTAGAAAAAAAAAGGGTTTTGGATTAAATGGCTGAAATAAGGTCTGAGGTTAACAAAAGCTCAACATATTTTCACATTTTGTTCTACAAAATATATACATCAGTAAAACCCCACTCATGATTTTTAAGCTTTGAAAAAGGCAGTTGATAACAAGTGGCTAAATGAAACTACATCTACTCTATAGTGCGCTTTTACTGCCTTGTTGTATTTTTACTCATGGTCTTGCAAACTATTCTAACTCAAACCTTTTCCCAACTTGTAGATTTTAAATAAAGATTAGTTGGAAACGTAGTGGTGGTGAAGTCATGCGACTGTGGTATATTTTGTTTATAGCCTTTCTTTAACATTTTACTTCTCCCAGTTGTGTCTTCAAAATTCCTTAGAGTTATGCTCATTTGTGAAGATGATATTAAAATGAGAAAAAATACGTAATCCCTCCAGGACTTTATTGAATCTACTTCAAAATCTCAAAAACTGTCAAGATTATGTTTCAGTAACATATTTTAATGAGTGATTGCTAACCCTGTCTCATAGCTGATGAAATCGGATTGTCTGATGGTAGCCATATTTTTGAATTATACATTTGTTGTCATCTTAGTTAGGACCAAATCGATCTCAAGTGTTTTAACCATAATATAGCACCATTTTATCATGAGGTTTGACATTTTTATTGTGCCACCAACTGCCTAGAAAAGTTTTCTCTAAGTGAAAACGAATGTAATCAAAGTGACTTATTGTATTCAGGAATAATAGCTAAAATAGGCCATGTCCAACAGTCTTCATTGGCCTCAGATGGCCACGTTGGATTCAAAGTAATGATGAGTGCTACAATACAAGTAAGTCAGCCTAGCAAGGATGCAATACAAAGTTCCAAAATTGTCCAGAAAAGTCTGAAGCTGTAGAGAACCAGTACAATCTAGTTAGTTTCTAGCCCTTCTTATCTGAATATCAAGTGATCCTCGCTTCTGCATTCAGGCTCAACTCTCTTGTGTTATGGGTCTTCTGTCTTTCCCTGAGATCAGTTCATTCTTATTTGTCCTCCATTCTAGTAATTTTTTGGAGGCACAGTCGTTGGTTGCCAGAGATGGCAACATTAAAGGCAAAAGCTGAGCTGGTGTCTGGTAGAAGAAGTGTCCTGCTGAGACTGAACACTTGATCGTCTCTGACTCTGTCTTACACAATTCTCACAGATAGAGAGATCTTAATTCTTAGGGCTTTCATCTTTTCTCCTCACTGTGTCTGGTGCCGTTGTAAATGCATCAAGCTTGACTGAAGAGCAGTGTTAGGCTCATGTGAGAGACTGTAGGAAATATGAAGTGAAGTTTGTATTGTAAGGGTAAGACAAAGTTACATGCACTTAAAAAGTTTCTCACTGCACTTGACCACTGCCGTAGAATATCTGGTGCTCTGCTGGTGTTGGTATAAAGTGTACAGATGTATTTCAAGTCTTAATGTGAACAATTAATTGTATTTTTATCATATAAATGCATCCTTGGTGAGCATAAAAGACTTATTTCAACAAATGTATGTATATATAAAATATAACAAACTAAATATATATATATATATATATATATATAAAATTAACCAATGTATAATTTATATATTTTTTCTAGTTCATATAAGTGGATACATGTGGTCAGATACTCTCAACTCACATGTCTTTGAGTCCATGTCTTTAAGATTGAGATCTTTTTGTCTCCTCAAGGGTGGGTGGTTTGGTCAGCATCCTGGTTGCGCTCTGTGTCCTCACTGGATACTCTATCATGACTGCCAGCTTTGTCATCTATGAGGTTCACGAACATCACACAGGCTCCAAGAGACTCCAGCAGATCTCTGGCATCAGCGAACCTTTCTACTGGATCATCAACTTCTTCTATGATATGGTACTTCAGTATTAGTTGATAGATTTCAGCCTTTGAGATCTGTTGCATTGATCTGAAAAAAATCCAAAAACCATGAACAATAAATTACAAACCAGACTACATGAAATAGAGGTACAATTGGAACAACAATAACCTTTTGTGTCTGCACCATTTTTGAGTTTTAAGATGAATATAAATGTAATTATATAATTAATTTAATATTAATAATATCCAAAATCCTTTATTTAATCCTCAGTAATAATATACAAGCCTTCTTGTAGCTCAAACAGTATAGCATGGTGCTATCAATGCCAAGGTTTTGATTACCAGGGCCAAATGCATAAATGTAAATTAACAAAAGTGTTTAATATGCATATTACATAAGACTGTATTTGTATTTAAGGTCTTTTCTATGTCATTGCAGGCTCTTTACGTGATTCCCGTGGTCCTCTCGGTGGCGATGATAGCAGCGTTCCAGCTCCCAGCATTCACAGACAGGCAGAACCTCGGCGCGGTCACACTTCTGCTGGTGCTATTTGGGTCAGCATACATTAGAGTCCCTTTACCACCAGAGATGTTCCTGTCACAAGACAGGCGTCTCATTAGAACGTCTCAGAGGTGACAGGTCCTCAAGGCACTAGTGCTTCATGAATGTATTATTCAGCAAATGCTACATGTCGCAGCATTGGCAGAAGGGGAGGTTTTAGTTAATGCGTTGGCTTTCAGGTAAACACCGGGCTCTCAGCTAGAAAGAGGAGAGCTGCTCGAAGCTTTCCTGCAAGGCCTGGGCTCTGAAGAAGCAATTGTACACACTCCGTCACCCAGTTAATTGCATTGTGGGGAACAGTGAGGCCACTCACTGTCAGTCTTTAGGCTTCAGAGCTCCAGGCTGCTTGGGAGGCCCTTCATTGTGTGAAGTCAGCAGTCTGGCTCACATTCATCTGCCTGTGAGCTCACCGGCTCTTGGCCCATAAATAACCACACATCACAGCAATCTGACCACTTTCCCTTCAACCTGCTTAATTGCTTTTGTTTAGCTGAGCAGTGTGGACTTTCCACCACTAACAATACACGTACAAAGGCCAGGGAACGTGCACATATTCACACATGTGGTACCCCCTCAGTTTAAACACATCCTCTTCCTGGACCCCGCCACCCCAATCACCAAGAGTAATGAATAAAAAAGCAGATCATTCTGTGGAGTTGAAGAGGAAAGAGCATGCTTCACAAAGAGGAAATAGATGAACTCATTTATCTTCTGGCCTCTTAGCTCAACTGTGGAATATTTTCTCACTTTCTTTGCTAAACTCAAAGCAGAAGTCTTACGATTGCTCTTTTGTCTTCCTCAGTGTTGTAATTCTTCTCTTCAGATGTGTCTTTGAAGCTTGCCACTTACCACATTGATTTCATGGTTTCTTTTCAGCTTCTCCACCTTCCCTTGGATGTACCTTCTGTCTGCGGTATTTAAGGATACTGAGATGGCCTTCATCGGTTATGTTTGCATCAATCTCTTCATCAGTGTCAACACCATCATCTCCACATCCATTCTTTACTTCCTGGGTCAGCTCAACCAGAATGACCAGGTGAGAGAAGAGTCAAAGGGACATTATTATAACAATTTTCACAAAATAAAACATCAACATTTATTTTAAAATAGAAATATTAGCAACTGTTTTGATTGTCACTTTGATCAATTGAATGCATCCTTGCTCAATAAAAGTTAAAATTTAATAAAAAAAAATCTTACTAATAATATAATATAATATAATATAGGGTTGCAAAGGGGTGGAACATTTCCGGAAACTTTCCAAAAATTCCTGGTATATTCAAATAAAAAATCCTGGAAGGTTTCCAAAATTTCTGGAATATTTCCAAAATTTACTGGAAGTTTTGCAACTACTTGCAACCATAATATAATATAATATAATATAATATAATATAATATAATATAATATAAATACATTTTCACCAGGCAAATAAGATGATTAAATAGATTATAGATCATTCTTCCTTCTTTAACTTGCTTTCACTGTCCATTTCAGAGCATCCAGAATGTGTACCGTACCATGAGCAACATATTCCTAGTCTTCCCTCAGTTCAGCTTTGGCAATGGGTTGATGGAGTTGGCACGGGTTGACATGCAGGTGCAGATCTTGAGTGTTTTTGGAGTGGATGCCTACAAGAACCCCTTCAGCATGGATGTTCTGGGCTGGATGTACATCTCCATGTTCCTGCAGGGTTTCATCTGCTTCACGCTTCGCCTGCTATTTAACAAGACACTCCTGCGCAAAGTCAGGTATACCTGGGGCTCTGGCACTATGGATTCAAAGTGACTGGCACAGTGGTAACGTTTTTACATTTGTTGTGCATTTGTGTATTTCTTCATAGATGCTGGAAGAAGAATGTTGTTCAGAGCTATAGCCCCAATGAAGATGAAGATGTGGTGGCTGAACGTCTGCGTGTGGACCGTGGGGATGCGAGTGCCGATATTCTGCAGGTTAATCATCTGACTAAGGTGTTCCAAAACCTGAACAAGAGGGTACAGGCAGTGAAGAGGCTGTCTGTGGGCATCCCAGCTGGCGAGGTCTGTGCTATTTGTATATTAATATTTATTATGAGAGCATTTACATGCACAAGAATATTCCAGTATTAAAATTAAACATAAATTGGCATTTGCAACCCATTTTACTTCCTTAATGCGATATACACACTACCAGTCACAAGTTTGAATTAGTTCAGATTTTTTAATACTCGGTGAGCATAAGTCTCATAAGTTTGCTTAATATTTTGGTGGAAACTGTGATATACACCTTTCAAAAGTTTGAGGTAAGCAAGATTGTTTTATATATATATAAAAAAAAACTTTTATTCAGCAAGGTTGCATTAAACTGATCAAAAGTGGCATTTATAATGTTACAAAAGATTTCTATTTAAAAAAATGTTCTCTTGAACTTTGTATTCATCAAAGAATCCTAAAAAAAATGTATCATGGTTTCCACAAAAATATCAAGCAGCAAAAACTGTTTTTATTAATGTCATTATTAATAATTGAGCACCAAGAATAATTGATAATAACTGAGCACCAAGTTAACATATTAGAATGATAATGTGACACTGAAGACTGGAGTTATGGCTGTTGCAAACTGCATTGCCATCACAGGAATAAATTACATTTTAAAATATCTTAAAATATTAAACATTTAATTACTTATTATTATAAATATTAACATCTTAATTATTATAAATATTAATATCTTTATAACTCCAAACTTTTTCCCGGTAGTGTGTTTCCAATTAACAATCACCATAAATTGATAATTGATTTTGTGCATTGAGAATTGATTGGATTGTGAAAAGTTGGTGTTCCATATTAGTATTAGGATTTATAATACTGAGTCCAGAAATGTGTACTAAGAAAGTACATTTGGTAAATTCAAATCAATTTCAAACATTAAACAAAATGACAAACTCCATAATATTTTAATCAGAATATTTTATTTATCTAAAAATGTGTATGTAGATGTGGTCACAGAGGGGAAATGCAACTATATATTCCCAGAAAGTCTTGTTTAAGGCACTTGGCATATGCTGTGCTTCATTATATTTCAGTTCTGAATGATTTTTCATAGAAGATTTATTGAGCTGTTGAGAATAATCGATGACAGCAAAACATTCAATGTAAATGAATGGAAGGTCAATATCTTCCTTAGTGCTTTGGATTGCTGGGAGTCAATGGTGCAGGAAAGACGACTACCTTCAAGATGCTGACAGGAGACATTAGCCCCACCGATGGCTCGGCCAAGATCCGTGACATTGACGGGTACCGTTTGTTTTAAAATCCCTTTAAAATCTTGATCTGGTACTTTTACTGTTGCTCACCATCTTTTTCTGATGCACTCAGACTCTTTTACTAAACATTTGTGTTTGGTTTCATTGCATGTTCATGGCCTGTGTCCTCAGGAGATTGGTTGACATCATAGACTGCAGGAGAGAGGGCATAAACATTGGTTACTGCCCTCAGGTGGACGCACTGGATGACCTCTTGACTGGAGAAGAGCATCTCTATTTTTACGCCCGCATCAGGGGCATCTCTAAGAGGGAGATTGACCGGGTAAGGTCACAGCTGTATCATTGTCTGATAAGAAACTGGCCTTTGCCAGAAAGAAACAAAGTGACCTACAAAAATGCATGTTTTCTGTTGTGATGATACCTATACATGGTTTTGACCAAATTTACTTACATTTCAGAATTTGATACTAGTCAAATTACTAGTTTCAAGAACTCAAAGTTTGGGGGCAGTAAGATCTTTTTTTTTTTTTTTTTTAAGGACATTAATACTTTTTTTTTTTTTTTTTACAATTAAATTGATCAAACGTGATCAGTGTATTTATGGTGTTACAAAAGATTTCTATTGCAAATAAATTCTTTTCTTTTGAAATTCTATATATCAACAAATCATGAAAAGAATTGTCATGATTTCCACAAAAATATTAATCAGCACAACTGTTTTCAACATTGATAATAATAATAATAATAATAATAAATGTTTCTTGAGCACTAAATCAGCATATTAGAATTATTACATGATGAAAGATCATGTGACACTGAAGACTGGAGTAATGGCTGCTGAAAATTCAGTTTTGTGATCAATAAATTACATTTTACAATATATTAAAATAGAAATCAGATGTTTTAAATTGTAATAATATTTAAAGGTATCACTGTATTTACGGTATTTTTGATCAAATAAATGCAACCTTGGTGAGCATAAGAGATTTTTTCAAAAACATTAAATATTTTACCGACCCCAAACTTGAACATTAGTGTATTGTTGTGTGTGTGTGTGTGTGTGTGTGTGTGTGTGTGTGTATATATATATATATATATATATACAATTTAAAATAAAAGTCACGCATGCATAAGTTTAAAGGTAGTCAACTGTCAGTAAGTGCTCGCTGAGTGAGTACTTTGCTGATATAGAGAGACTGGCATCATTAAATTTTTTTTATTTATTTTGGCATCAACTTGATTCGGAAATGCTGGTATGTTTGACATCCCTTATTATGTGCAACTGCATTAAATGTATTTGATGATTTGAAATAAGAGGCAAGAGATGAAGTGAAACAGGCAGCTGTCTGTTAAATCATGTCACAACCCACTAACATCGTTTAACACTTTAAGAGAGATTTTGCATCTGTTTTTCGTCAAGTGGTACTCAACCCTGATTACATCTTTCCACACACATAAAAACATGTCAGGAAATGGAACAGTCATATTGAAAGGACCAGCATATATTTTGATTGAGATGCTGCTGTTGTCACCAGACTTTTTAACTCTTAACTTCACCAGTTTTACCCATCATCGACTCACCTGGAAATCCCTGCTGGACTTCTCAGTAAGATGCAAACAGATCTTAGTTTGGTATAGTCCGAGTATTGCATTTGACAGGAAATGGTTGGCTCTCCTCCACATTGATTAATGAGGAAGCGAATTAATCTTGCATTCTCTCAGGATTATTGGTAAAAAGCACTTCTATAAAACTTGCCTTTGGCTGCAGATGTGAACTCGTTATCAGTTGTCCTAAAGATTGAAACACTGGTCTGAGGGAATATAGCTTGCATAAAAAGTTGCCATGTCATTTTAGCAACTTATTATGAAAATTAGTTAAGTTGGAATAGTGTTCCTATTAAACAATGCCTTTTTTTTATGTGTTAGTGTTAGCTATGTGTAACAGTGAATCGTAGCTTTATTGCTTTTATAAAGCAGCAACAATGTCAATATGATAATTGTTCTAATGTTCAATAAATAGGTACATATACAGAATAAATGAGCTTCTAGATCAAATTTTAGAGTCAAAGGCATCCATTTTGGTAATGCAGAACCAGCTGTGCTGTTCTCAACAGCTAAATCGTTGAAGATTTATAGGAGAACTGTTTAGAAGATAAATCACATTGATTTATGCCTAATTTCTCTGTATTGCATCCGCACAATATTTTGATCATGAAAGCTTATGTTTGAACTGAATATATCAACTCCATTATGATCAGAGACTGTGACACGCATTTATGACGTTATGAGCACATGACTGTTAATGCATATACCTTCCTGTCAAGCTCTTTCCCTCTAAAGTAATTCAGGGCTGTCTCTACTGATACTAGGTTAGCCTGCGGAGAAAGAATCTGCAGGCTAACCAAGTATATAATCTTATACAGTCTTAGAACATTCTCCCAGGTGAGACATCCACAGAAATTGTGAAAAGGGAGTCCCTTTGTAGATGAAAGTCAAAATAAAGATGCTTTTTATTAAACTTTCCAGCTACAGTGTTTGATTATAGTTATTAAATTTTTAGAAATCCATTGTTTACTCAACCTCATGTTGACTTCTGTTCTGCCAAGAAAATGCTTTGAACAATGTTCATGCTGCTTTTGTTTATACAGTGAAAGTGGATGGTGACCAAGGGCAATATTTTCAGGGAATAATTGATTCTGTTTCTAACACAAAGTTATCGATTGGCTTCAGAAGACTTATCATATTAATAGTAGTGTATAAGTCATATAGACTACTTTTGTGCTGCTTTTTTCCCTTCTGGTGCTTGACAGTCTTTGGTCACCATACACTTTCATTGTAAGAAAGAGAGCTTCCTGAACATACTACACAAGTTGTCCTTTTGTATTATGTTAATAGAAAGAAAGTCACACAGGTTTTATATGACATAAGGGTGAGTAAATTATAGCAGAATATTAATGTTTGGCTGAAGTAACCCTTTCAATCTTTAAGTAAAGTTGATATGAAGTGCAACTTTGTCGAAAATGAAGTAAAACCGGCACCCTGTAATGATGATGTTACCCTTCTATAAAAAGGGCAGAGAAGGAATTGACTTAACAATCTATGAATAGCATCAGTCATCTTTTGGCTACCAAGGCTTTGTGTAAAAGCTGCTGAAACTTTGGAATGGCTTTTGCGGTTTGGCCCATTAACTTGGATTAGAGGATTTAGAGGAAATGGCTGGTAAATTTTGATGTCCTGAGGGAAGCGTGCAGTACAATGCCGACCAAAATGATGATCTGTAGGTGTGTGTAACCCCTGTTAGATGGAGAGTACTTTATGGTTTCTTGCAGGTTTACGAGAAGCTATTTAAATTCATAGAATGTCTACTTGGATCCTTTGATGTATGAATCCAATTAGTTAAATGAATGCAGAGCCCATGACATGCTCTGTGTGGGGTCAAATGTCAACAGGCATTTAATCAAAACATTATTCAAAGTGACTCATTATGATGTCAAGACCACACTGTTAATGTGTTAGAACAACTTTTTAAGCCATTTTGGGGACAATTATTGCTTTGTAAATCAAAAATAAATTGCAGGGAAATTATGACTGAACTATAAGTGTGTAACGTGTTTTAATATAAGGCTGCTTGATTTGGGGGGTGAATCCAAGTGTGATTTTTTTCTGATTAAAAATTGCAATTTTAAAAGGGCTTGGTTTGCTGTGCTTGTTTGTTTGTAGGGGTGCACAGTTTGGCTAAAAAGACTGACATTATATATCAATTTGACTATATAATAATAATAATTATTATTATTATTATAGTAATAATATTAATATATAATATATAATAAACTAAAAATATTAAACAATAATATGTTACTATTGTAATATTTCACTGTAGAAAAAAAATAGTAATAATCATAATTTTATTTTATAGTACAGATGTAAAATGACAAGAGTTATATTTGAGGCTGTCTTAATTTCTTCTAACATTAAACCATCAAGCTTTTGTTTTGACGGGTAGTGCAGTATAATTATTTTTTACATTATTAGTAGTGTTTAAAAGGATTGGAAGAAACTCCAGTAAACCACATAACAACACCCAAATACACCTTAGCAACCACATACTTTAGCAACGCCCTGGCAACCAACCACAACACCCTAAAATTGTGAATTTTGCATGTGTAAGAAGCGCTTACTGTATATTTCCATCAGAAGATCAAATTATCTGCTTTCTTATCTAACATTCCATTATTATGATACACGCTATGAGAATCTCATTATTTGATCTTTTTTTTCTTTAGGTTGTGAACTATCTGTTGAAAAAGTTGGAGCTGAATTACCACAGAAACAACACAAGTGAGAGCTACAGTTGTGGAACACGCCGGAAACTGTCGACAGCCTTGGCCCTGATCGGAAACCCTCAGATCCTTCTCCTGGTGAGTAAAAAAATGCACATTATGCTAAGCTGAGACTAGTTACTGTTGAGTTAGTCATAGAGCTACACTATAAATCACTGTATTGCATGTTGTCTTGAGTGTTTGCTTAGAGGAGTTTGAATGGGTAAAATGTTGCACTCTTATTACAAACACCTCTTGAAATGCGTCGGTGTGCTGTTTGGCCAAAGTCTCACAGCACATCAGTTATTCTGACTTCAAATTTTGGCTCGGTGCATTGCACGATTGCATTTACCTGGAGAGTGTGTGGGTTTTGCATTAGGTTTTTCTTTTGTTCTGTAAGCGCAGAGAAACATCCCACATGTTTCTTACTGTACATGTCTCCTCTAACCTCTCAGGATGAACCCAGCTCTGGAATGGACCCACGTTCCAAACGTCACCTTTGGAAGATCATCTCTGAGCAAGTGATGGGCAAATGTGCTGTGGTCCTGACATCACACAGGTATGATCACTTCCTCCAAACAAATAGGTGGTAGTAATGACACATTTAGCCAAAATCGAGTCTCTTAGACCAGGGGTTTTCAAGCTTTTTGGTGCTAAAGACATTCAAATATGATGATCCTCTTTTAAATATGAGGGACATCTTTTGTAAATTATAAAGGTAGCTACATATTTTCATGTATATAGACCTATTTGTGCTGAGAAAAATATTAAGCATGATGATCGTATAAAGACAATAACTGGCCTTTACATTGTCATTGTACTAAGCAACCATCTATTAGATGTTAGATGTATGAATTGAAGAAAAATATAAAAAATTATATGCCAATTAATTTTGTATTTCACAAAACTATATGAAGATTTATGCTAAGGCTGTCATTAGAGTAAAATCAATGCAGTCTCAGAACATTCTAATAAAACAAAAAAAAGAACAAGAACAAAAATAAAACCTAAATATATGTTTTTTTTTTTTTTAATTATTGAAATAAATAATGTGTGTGTGTA